TAACGTGGAAAAACAGTAGTTGTAGGCGATCACCATGGACGGATATAGGGACTGGAATCACAGCAGATTAGAAAAGGATCATAGGGTCTGTTGATCTTTTGAACTTCATACTTGGAAATCTAGAACAATGACTGGATCAAAGTACACTTTTGAGAGCGGTTCCATGATGAGCTGCAGTTGTTCGGGAGCTTCCATTCTGGAATAAAAAGGGCTATGGGTGGAAAAGCTTGGAGAAGAAACCCTACAGAAAGGCTGGCTGGGTGAATTACTTCTCGTAAGGTAAAGCTAGAAACCCCAGATCTTCAGCAATTAAATTCCAGTGAAAGTTCAATTCTCCAGGGAAGTGAGTGAAAGCTTCTACTCTATTGGCTCAAGGATTGGTTTTTGGTCAAAACCTGGAAGAAACAGGAGGACAACTCTGATACTTACTGTATTCTCTGCAGAGGTGTAACAGAAGGCAGCACAAATCCCTGCGTGTGTGCTAGTCGGAACATCATCGATTCAACTCGCAATTGAGAACCTCTGCTCCACACCTGAATGCAGTCCTATGTCCAATATTACAGGACACACAGAAGAATAAGTTTTCAAGTTTCCGTAATTGCACACCTCATAAAATTGAATTCCGTACACTCGAGCCATCTCTGCGGTCTTCAAGAACCAGTTAATTTCATTAAGCAACGAGATATTCAGCAGTGCCATTTTATTGACATAACTAATCACCATACTACTAAATCAAGCCTCACCTTACGTAAATCACTTGAAACTTTTAAGAACACCTCACTATCTTGGTTTCCCTTCTCCAAATATATCCCGACAGAGAGCTCGGTCATCGAGTATCGGAAGCTTCCTTTTCAGGACTGATAGCACGGCCGTACCCCTGTCGTAGGACCTTCAAAACGATGAAAGCTATTGGTGTGGTTCTGCAGTTTTGCCAAGAAGAGATATAACTTTCACAACTTCCCTCGCTAAATTGACAAATGTTCGAATTCCAAGTTATTCGAAGCTTACCTCAGCTGCAATTCAGAACGAAGTATCCTCCAGACAGCTCGTAGTAATCTACCAGAAGGCGGATTAACGTCCTCGGGAAGATCGTAATGACGATCCAAGGGTGCCTGATGCCCTCAAACAACACCTAAAGATCGTTAAGCAGATGGTGGTAAACCGTGGTTTGATTGTTACCTTTCTAATTCTAACCAAATCATCTCAATAGACCAATGACGTCACTAAGATGGAGTTCCTTCAAGTGGGTCCCTTAGGTCATGGAGCGCTTTTCCGAGATGATTTGGTCTATGTTATAGGGGGAGGCGAAAGGACCTCAGAACTGTCGGTCTGTTCTTTTTTACTCGCTTCCAAAAATGCCAAACAAGAGAAACCATCAGAGTGTTGGTTCGAACCTCAATACAGTATGTTCGAACGCTATCTGAACGATTTCTTGGGAAAAAAAGTTCCCAAAACGCCCAAATTTGTGTGCAGAAAGTGAGTGATTTCTGATATTAATTCATTGTAAACTCGCAGACTAGATTCAACTCCATGCAAGCGCCTCGGATGCGCCAAAAGCCGATGTCAAAACCGTAGACAGAAACATCCATTGCCACTCCGAAGTAGGTTTTAGATAAGAAATTTGTGACCTTTAGCGGATGTGGAAAGAAATAAACCACAGATATATTTGCTGGTAGTGATAGAACATATCCTGATCAAAAGTGTTATGGCTTCACTCGAAGCCCACGGGAAACTTTGCAGAGCCGCACGTATTTCGGTGGTTAGTCAAGTTTACGACCCCTGCGACCCCTAGACTTCATTTCGGTTAGTGGAGAGGTTTCATCGGCGTTCTGGTACATACCTCCCTCCCACACAGGGTGCAACATCGTGATGTATGAAATGGTGGTGTCAGTACGACCCCCTCAAAGGACGGTCTCGGTACACCCCCTCACCCAAAAGAGAGGCTCGGTACGTTCCCCTCCCTCCCCAACACTTACCTACCACTTCCCTACAAGTTTCCAGCTTCCCAACAGTTATCAACCCAAAAACTTTCCGTCAAGCAGGGGGAGGGGGCGGGGGTAAATAGCACATGTGATACGGGAACAGGTACTAGGAAAGTTTTTCAATCCCTTCGATTTTTCCAAAGTTCCTA